CTTTTCAGAACCGTAGATTCCCAAGAGAGGATGCAACAAGAAGTGATCCGTCGACACGTTCCCAAGCAACTAGAGCGGCAAAACGACAATGTGATCAACACCCTACCCGGGGATTGAACAGTGAATCACCACCGGGTGAACAACAGCCTACCCACGCACATATGACAGCAAGAGAACAATGTGAACAACACCTTACCCCGGGGGTTGAACAGCGAAGTACTACCGGGGGGAACAGCAACCTGCCCATGCACATAGAACAGCAAAACAACAATCTGAACAGCATCCAACCTCGGGGGTTGAACAGCGGGGTACTACCGGGTGAACAGCAGCCTACCCATGCACATAGAACAACAAAAGAACAATGTGAACAGCACCCTACCCCGGGGGTTTGAACAGCGAAGTACTACCGGGGGGAACAACAACCTACCCATGCACATAGGACAACAAGAGAACAATGTGAACAGCACCTTACCCTGGGGGTTTGAACAGCGAAGTACTACCGGGGGGAACAACAACCTACCCATGCACATAGAACAGCAAGAGAACAATGTGAACTGCATCCTACCCCGGGGGTTGAACAGCGAAGTACTACCGGGTSAACAGCAACCTACCCACGCACATAGGACAGCAAGAGAACAATGTGAACAGCACCTTACCCCRGGGGTTTGAACAGCGAAGTACTACCGGGGGGAACAACAACCTACCCATGCACATAGAACAACAAAAGAACAATGTGAACTGCATCCTACCCCGGGGGTTGAACAGCGAAGTACTACCGGGTGAACAGCAGCCAACCCATGCACATAGAACAGCAAAAGAACAATGTGGACAGCACCCTACCCCGGGGGTTGAACAGCGAAGTACTACTGGGTGAACAGCAACCTACCCACGCACATAGGACAGCAAGAGAACAATGTGAACAGCACCTTACCCCGGGGGTTGAACAGCGAAGTACTACCGGGGAGAACAGCAATCTACCCATGCACATAGAACAGCGAAGGAACAAGATTGACGACATCTACCCTGGAGGCAAGCTCACCGAGGCACCCCGGGATGAAGCGCCATACACACACTCATCAATGACAACATAAAGACAAGATTTGAAGCAATCTATGAGGGGGGAACATCATCGACGTATCCCGAAGTGAAGCACCACACACACACTGCTTCACTACACACACACTCATCAAGGACAGCATAAAGACAAGATTTGAACCATCCTATGAAGAGGAAACATCACGGAAGTATCCCAAGGTGAAGCACCACACACACACTCATCAAGGACAGCATAAAGACAAGATTTGAAGCATCTTATGAAGAGGAAACATCACCGAAGTATCCCGAAGTGAAGCGCCAC